GTCACTGGCTTGAGCTGTCAACAGTCTATAAAGCTCGGCCTTCCTGGCTGTGGCTGGAAAAGGTATGCCCCCGAGTCTTAGTTCTGCTGATATTTTTGGAATAGTCCATGATCTCATGGACCTGAGGGTAGAGGGGGTGAGGTATACTTCTGGGGACCCAGGCCTGGGTGGAGTGCTGGGTACATCTTCCAAGGGCAGGTCATCGATAGGGATGGATTCTTGTGACATCCCAAAGAAAGGAATAATGATTAATATAGTAGGGGGTGGGGAGGAAGATCAAGTCCTTCACAGGACTGGCTTGCTGACTAGTGCCGAGACGAAAAATGTAACTATAGCAACTAGGGATGCACCGAAATTAAAATTCTGGGCCGAAACCGAAAATTCAGTATGCCCTTGGCCGAAAGCGTTATCGGGAACCTGGGACATGCTGAAATATAGTAATAATATTGCTTAGAAGCGGGGATGTATACTGGCAGGCTAGCTAGTGCCAAGTGGCGAAAAAATTTACTAGGGTAGTGACAAGTGAGACCCTACTAGTTGCCAAGCGGTTTGAGAGGCTCGACCCAAGAGTAGGCGCCACCTAACATTGTGGCAGGGTGTTGGCCTCTCGGTGAACATTAGAGCCAAAAGATGGTAAGTGCGTGACAAGTGAGATGGCTAGCTATGGTTTGGCCCATGGGGCGTATTACCTCTTGCATGGAGGATGGGTGTTGGCCTCGCTGGACCACTGCATCTACAGCGGAGAGTGCCCGAATAAAATTCCTAGATGGCTACCTAATACCCTGTAAGCCAGCAACCTTGTTAACCATGGGTAATGGAGTGGACCCGGGAGCAACGTACCTGTTGGTCAAGTGTATGCTTGAATATCTGCCCAGCGGTAGTCTGAGTTCCCTACTAAGGAGGGATCCCTAAACCAAATGGTGAACAATACAATAGAGGAAAGGAGATAAATATATATGTGTATGAAATAAAATGTCATACTGAAAGAAAACCTAGCGTATATTGACCTAAAACCGCTACGGCCTACCCACCTATGACTTTAGGACTGAGGTTTGAAGAGCCAAGCTTGTCTTAGCTTGGGTACCTTGTAATCTGTAAAACATGACACATAGCGTGAGTCCGAGGTTCAGTAAGAGCATAAACAGTACAGTCTGAACCTTGCATGAATACTGAGATTAAGTGCATAGTAAAAGGGTTAACGTAACTTGCCAAATTGATTGATTTGAGAAACAGACCTTTAACTGAGCAGCTGCAGTTATATACAATATATGATAATCAGTTATAGAATTAAACCGTAACATAAGCATCTGGCTTATAACCCTGCCCCTGTACCTAGCACCTGCAATACCAGGTACAGGACCTAGAGGGCCACAAGCCATTCGTGGCAACTTCCGTATGTGCCCTGGTGACACGTGACCGTGGGAACCACGGTGCGAGACGAGTACCAAAATGGAGCGGTTAGCAAAGTTTCAGTGGTGATTGCCTTGCTTTTAGTACTCATTCCCAATATTGCATCTCCAGGATTTATAAGGTCAAGTTTCCAAGGATCAGTGGGAGAGATGTATAAGATAAAAGAGCCAACAGATAAAAATGAAGTTGTGTAAGACACACAAGGTGTGTGTGTGTGTGTGTATGTATATATATATCTATATATCTATATATATCTCTCCGCCGGACCCTCAGGTTATCTAGATGACCGACCGAAACCACCCCCTTTCTGCTGCCTGTGAATCACGAGCAAGGGATACCGAGGCTCTATACGACAATAGATTCTCGGTGCCTGCTTCGCCTAACCCCGAGATAAGTAATGTATACAGTGTTGTGTAGTGTATATATATCGTAAGGTATGCGTTCAGGAGTAAGGGCAGGTTAGCCCTGCCAGGTAGAAGGATGCTTCCGAGCCGGAGGCCTGCCGCTCTCTCAGACAAGGTACATAGAATATTGCCCAAGCTAAACAATAAAGTATACAATATTAACCGTAATTAGACTGCCTTCGTGCGACCATGCCCCCAGAACCTGACCTTCGTGTAGGAAGCCGAAGGGGAAGTACCCGTGCCAGCATTGGCCGGGAGCTGTGGCTAGCAAAGAGGTTAGCTTACGGTTACTGGAAGGCGCCTGTACGAGACGGCCTTCAGTCGTGGCTTCTGCGTCAGCTATCAGGCAACTGTCCAAGAGTAAGCTGCGGTAACCAGACCCTCTGTGACGTGGCTAGGTACTGTGATGACACTGATACTGGAGAGCAGAGTGTTTCCTGCGGCAGAATATGGCGGTCAGCAGCAGTACGTATAGACCAATCATGGTCGTGTAGAGAAGGGGGAAGTCCCTTTTAAAGGTCCATAAGCCCCTCCCACAACTTCAGGCCAAGCCTTCCAATATATACATGTATATACATGTACACACACATACACACACACTTCCTGTCAGTGCGGCCGAGTTTAGGAGACACACTGAAGAGTGGGGACCAAGAAGGGTAGAGGGAAAGAGAGAGAGAGGCACTAAGGGACACACTATGGGATGGGGGGGTGAAGGTCACTATGGGACAGGGGAGGGGGGGGCGGAACACTACGGGGGAGAGAGGAACATTGAGGGAAGACACTAAGATACAGGGGAGGGATGGGAAAATGAACACTGGGGTAGGGGGAACACCACTAAAAGAGAAGGGAGAAGAACATTAAGGGGAATTTGGGGGGGCACTAAGAGACAGACTGCATCCACTACACACACACTGCATTTACTAATCAAATACTCTCACTGCATCCACTAAACACACAAATATTCTAGAAAACTAAAAAAAAAAATCTTAACGGGAAACCCTATTGCCAGGAAAACAATCCGTTTTCCTGGCACTGCAGGTCCCCTCTCCCTCCCACCCCCTAATCCCGGTCGCTGCTTCTTCCTCCGCGCCGCTCATCCGTCTGATTGCGTCGGCCGGGGGGCAAGACTGATCCCGCCCACCGGCCGTGGAGACCTAATGTGCATGCGCAGCAATGCCGCTCATGCGCATTAGCGCTCCCCATAGGAAAGCATTTAAAATGCTTTCCTATGGGGAAATGAGCGACGCTGGGGGTCCTCACACAGCGTGAGGACGTCCAACGACGCTCTAGCACAGGTTTCCTGTGCTAGAAACCAGGAAGTGCCCTCTAGTGGTGGAGTTAAAACTGCAATAATTACACTTGCAGGGTTAAGAGTAGTGGGAGTTGGCACCAAGACCACTCCAATGGGCAGAAGTGGTCTGGGTGCCTGGAGTATCCCTTTAATGGCATGTATATTTTGTGTATTTACCACTTCATAAAAAAAATAAATTTGCAAAAAAAAACAAAAAACCACAAACACAAAACTGTAAATGTACAGAATATCAGTAAGCTTAAAAATAAAAATCGGTCGATCCCTAATAAATAGATTTCTGTGGGAAAAGCAAGTCTTATGGTTTGCCTGGTGTGTGTATTTGTGTTTAACATTACACATACATACACACACACACACACACACACACACACACACACACACACACACACGTCTGTGCAATTCTTTTAGCAAACTCCTGTAATTCTCAACTGGGAGGATCACAGTTGAAAAGGGTAAAATCATATATTTAAAGAGGTAAATATGTCAAACTTATGTTTAGGGAAAAATTTCCCTTTAAAAGGTCTGGCCAGGCTCCCAGCAACCCTCAACTTAAATGGTTAAGTGTCGCTGCTCACAGCAGATGTCCTCCATCTGCAGAGAGAGGGGAGCTGGGAACAAGAGCCAGAATTGAGGAATATGAGCCGTTTGTTTACCATCTGAGAGACCCAAAGGCCAGAGATATATATGCCCTATACAGAGAATCATATGTGTTTCTAATTCAACTCCGTATAAAGTTTAATATACACATTATTAAGAATAAACACAAAATGTAATTCTATACAGATTGTGCACTTTTACTAATTTTTTTTTACTTTAGACAGGCCCTAGTCCTCTCCTATTGTGTTTATTGTGATTGGAGTATCTGCGCCAATATGTAGAGAACATTCAGGAAAATAAAAAATCCTTGCCTACAGTGACTTACCTGTATCCAGGGTACGCCCACGCTCCTCCCCCACCGACGTCATCCAGCGGGGGAGACCTATTGCGCATGCACGGCCGGCGACAGGGGAGAACTAATGCTTTCAATGCTTTCCTATGGGGATTTCAGGGACGCTGGAGGTCCTCACACAGCGTGAGGACGTCCAGCGACGCTCTAGCACAGGTTTCCTGTGCTAGAAACCAGAAGTGCCCTCTAGTGGCTGTCTAGTAGGCAGACACAAGAGAAGGCATTAACCCTGCAATGTAAATATTGCAGTTTATGAAAACTGCAATATTTACAGTTGCAAGGTTAAGGGTAGTGGGAGTTGGCACCCAGACCACTCTAATGGGCAGAGGTGGTCTGGGTGCCTGGAGTGTCCCTTTAATCATTTTGGATGAACTTTTATATATATGATTTAACATCTTGAAAAATATTATATTTACCCCTTAAGACCGCAGCCAAATGTACAAGTTGTGATCAAAACAAAACGTAAATAAAACCTGGCATTTGCGCTATATGTCTGTCCAACAGTAATTCACCTCTTTCATATTAAATGCACCCACACTTATGATATATAATTTTATTCAGGGGAAACAGGGCTTTCATTTAATATCAAATATTTAGGTATGGAACTGCAACTCACGCCATCCATTGACATTCATTGAAACTCCCCTCTAGCCAGCTCAAATTTGATAGGCAATTTCTAAACTGCGACTGTTCCTTTATTTTTAATATTTCAGAGACATACTATGCATCAAAATGTAGGTCTGGGTCTTGTGATTCTCACAATATAAAGCTCTTTGCTGTAAGATTTATAGTTTTTAAAATACGACCGTTTGAAGATGGCAACCGCCA